AAGAAGTAATGATGGCTGTTTTCCAGCAGAGGACCTGCACAGCTAGAGCACAGGGTACTACTATGCTCTTTGACATCTTTTGGGGTTTGTGTGGATATATGAACATATAAATAAAATCTTAGTTTAAAAGACATAAGTCTTGGGAAACAGTTATTTAATTAAGTATTTCAGGCTGGAAAAGTTAGAGACAAAAGACAGGGCCACAGACAAATAGAAAGGCAGGGCCAGAGAAAGAAGGCTGGGCTAGAGGCATGGAACTGAGTAGTTAACGACCTGCAGAGCAACATGCCCATTTTATTGTGACTGGAATGGCAAAACTAAGTCCATTTTATTGTAGCTGACTTCTGCTCATCCTGTGTTTCTGCCTCCCCCCTCCCCTCATCCCCCTGCTCAGATCATACATCTACATTTCAAGGGAGTATGTTTCTACAATATTGTGAAACTTATAACTGAAACTTAGAAACTTTCTGTTAACTGAAAATTTCTTTGTTAACTGACCTGTCCCCGATGGTGTAACTATGATGATCTGATGTAACTATAGTTATTGGCTTTGCCCCTGGCATGATGTAATTGTGGTTTTAGGCTTTATAAACCCTGCCCTACTTCTCCTTGGGGTCAAGATCTCTTTTGGACATTAGCTCCCTCTTGACCACCGGCTATTAAAGGACTCCTAATTAGGCCATCACTATGTGGCATTCTTCTGTGCCCTGCACAGAAGTACAGTGACTACTGAAATATGTATCTTCCCCATGACTCATCACCTGTGAGAAAGGCACACTGCAGTGGTAGGAAACACAAGGAAACTATGCAGGACTGTCAGAAATGGATGGGAGAGCGAGCCCAGAGCCTGCCTGACAAAACAACAGCTGCATTTCAGCAGGAATGATATCTCCAGCTCTGTTCCCTGCTCCTCCTTCTGCAGGGGCCATGATGCCAGCTCCCCTCAGTCTCCTGGGTCCTCTTCATCCTGGTATGATGCAAGCATCCAATATGGGAGGCCCTCCCATGATGCCAGTGATGGACCCCCCTCTATCTGGGATGATGCCCACGGAACGTGCTCCTGGAATGAGGCCATCCATTGAAAACCACATGCCCATGATGTCTGAGCCTCAGTAATGACGCCTCCTGCTTGCTTCAGTATGGTGTCCACCCAGCCTGGCACAAGTCAGCCAGACGAATAAAAAGAGCAGAGGGTTTTGTCAGTTTTGTATTGTGTGTTCCATTTCACCAGGAGGTCATGGTGCTGCATCTGAGTGTTTTCTAGCAGCATGACAAGGACGACTTCTCCCTTTCCTAGCAAAAAACAACAGTATTGGAGAGAAGTAGAACAAAAAACTGCAGTTTTCATTTATACTGTGAAACGTGAAAATAAAATTGTCAGCTTTTTGTTAAAAACAAAGAAAACGAAACAAAACCTCATCCCCCCACAGCAACTTCCTATCTTTCTAAACAAGCTGTTTAGACATTGCATAGTTGGCAGCCCCAGTGAATGTCTTCTCTGTGCCCCTTTCTCCTACTCAGGTAGAAAGCCAGTCCCAGATCTTGGATCAAAGAGCTGTCATGAGAAATGTGATGTGGGGCTAGAGAGGTGGCTCAGTCCTTAAGAGCACTGGCTGCTCTTGAGAGGACCCAGGTTCTGTTCCCAGCATCCACGTGACAGCAAACAACCATCCGTAACTCCATTTCCAGGGGATCTGACACCCTCTTTTGGCCTCTGTGGGCACTGCATGTCACAGGTGCACTTACATACATACAGGCAAAATACTTCATACACATGAAATAAAAATAATTTTTTTTGGTCTTTTTGAGACAGGGTCTCCCTGTAGCCCCAGCTGTCCTGGAACTCACTATGTAGACCAGGCTGGCCTTGAACTCACAGAGATCTGCTTGCCTCTGCCTCCCGAGTGCTGGGATTAAAGGCATGCGCCACCACACCCGGCTAAAAATAAATAATTTTTTAAAAAAGAAAGAAAATATGGGCTGGAGAGATGGCTCAGCAGTTAAGAGCACTAGCTGCTCTTACAGAGGACCTGGGTTCAATTCCCAGCACCCACATGGTGGCTAACAACTGTCCATAACTCCAATTTCAGTGTACCTGATGCTGTCTTCTGACCTCCACGGGCATTGCATGACACAGGTGTACTTACGTGCAGGCAATACACTCACACATAAAATAAAATTTAAAAAATTAAAAAAAGAAAGAAATGTGATGAGCAGCATTCTGGCTGGTAAATTGTTTGGGAAGAAGTGTGGGGAATATGCCTGGACTCACCAAGCCTGGCTTACCCATGTAATACCTGGTAGAAATGTATTTCAACTCTTACATCTGAACCATGAGGGACCTCTAAAAGTCCTTATGTTTGGGGCAGGCTCACAGACCCCCGTCTTCTGGTGTGAATGAGCCCCACATACCTTACTTTCTTATCCTAGGTCTAGAAATTGAAGTCCAGGGTCCCAAAGGTACTCACATTCCCATGGATCACTGTCACTTTCTTAACTACATCACAGTTTCAGATAGCTCTTTGTTTCTTAAGTAAAATGAGCCTGGGTCAAGAGGTCAGGTTGGGGACTATGTGTTCAATGTGTGTATGTTAACTTATTGAATCCCTCTCATAATGTTTCAGGCAAGGTACCATTTTTACAGCAATCAACCCCATTATATAAATAAATAAAGAGATGCGGCCCAGTCAGTGATCTGCCACTGATGACTCAGCTGCCTCCCCCTCAAGGCCCCTTGCTTTCTGGCACTCTGTCCCTCCCCCTCCACCACCCCCCTATCTTCCCCTCCAATTCCACTCAGGAAAAGGAATGGTAACCCAGAACCTCCACTCTTTTGACTCCTTTGCTGATGCAAGTAAGGGTGATGACCTGCTTCCTGCTGGCACTGAAGATTGTATCAATACAAGAATTCAACAGAGAAAGGCAGGAAGACCCTTACTTCTGTCCAAGGGATCACTGATGATTACAATAAAAGGAAACTAGTGAAGGCATTTTAGAAGAAATTTTCCTGCGATGGTACTGTAATTGAGTATCCAGAACATGGAGAAGTAATTCAGCTACAGGGTGACCAGCATAGGAACATAGGCCAGTTCTTGATAGAGATGGGACTGGCTAAGGACGATCAGCTGAAGGTTCGTGGGTTTTAAGTATTTGTGGCTCTCTGAAGCTTAAGTGAGGATTTGCTTGCCATGAGTAGAATTCCTTTTTTCCCTTGTCACAAGTTTAAAAACCTCACAGCTTGTATAATGTAACCATTTGGGGCAGCTTTTAACTTAGACTAATGTAACTCCTTTATACAATAAACTGAAAAGTGCAAAAGAAAAGAAAGGAAGGAAGGAAGGAAGGAAAGAAAGAAAGAAAGAAAGAAAGAAAGAAAGAAAGAGAAAGAGAAAGAAAGGGCTTAGAGAAATTTAAAAACACTCGAAGTGACACAGCAAGTAAGTAGTAGAAACCAAGTGTGGCTCCAATCAAACCCAGGGTGATTCTGCTCCACATCACCTCCCCAGGGAAGAAGCTTTCTAATGCTCCCACACAGGGTATGTGAGGGAAAGCATCTCTTCTCACTGAGCAGAAAGAATTGAGATACAGATATACAGAGCATCAGGCCACAGGGGCCTTGGGGTACAGAGAGTTCACAATGAGATTACTGCTGAAGCCCAGCGCTCTCTCATCCTCTGCAGCTAGCATGTGGCCTTAGTCTTTACAAAAGCTCTTTAATGTCCAGGGGGGCTAAGCTCCCAGTCCAGGCCTGAAGGACCACCTCAGGGTTAGTACCATAATGGGCCTCCCTGCAGGTTGCCCCTGTGGCCCCTGAAGTCCTCAGAGCTGACAGCTGTGGACAGTGTTCCTTCCCTCATAAATGCTTCCAACTAGCTGATTCTTTAAAATAGTATGTACTCTGGAGGTGTCTAAAAAAAAATGGATAAATCATAATGGTGCCATTCAAGGGGAAAAAAAGCAATAACTTTATAAAATTAAATGAAACAATATTTTTTTGAGACAAAGTCTTATGTAACCCGGGCTGGCCTTGAACCGACTATGTAGCTAAGAATGACCTTGAACTTCTGATTCTCCTGTCTCTACTCCCTAAGTGCTGAGATTATAGGCATGCACCACTACATCTGGTTTTAAGCAGTGCTGGGGACAGAACCAGGGTTTTGTGTGTGCTACATGAGCACCCTACCAACTGAGCTACATCCTCAGCCCCAAACAATTTATTTGCCCAGTTTCACCACAGTAACACAGGTTTTTAGTTTTTATGATTTGTCTTTGACATATATATCTAGTTTTGGCATTTTTAAAAACCATACTTAGATGGCATTTTAAAGTGTATATGGTTCTGTCTACCTAAATCACAACCAGACGAGCCAATGCTATTTATTTGGGAATAGCAAAACACTGCAATGTAAACTCACAAGCCAAAGGAAACTTTCTTCAAGGAGGGTTGGGTCAAGTGAAAAGTTTTGAAGACAAAAATGAGGAGAAATGGGTTGGAGAGATGGCTCAGCTGGTAAATGTTTGCCATGCAAGCATGAGGATCTGAATCCAGATACCCAACACCCATGTAAAAGCTCATTATGCTGTTATTAAGACTCTAATTCTAGCACTGGAGTGGCCAGAGACAGGAGGACCCTGGATGCCTACTGGCCAGCCAGTCTAGACAAATCAGTGACCTCCCAAAAAGTAAGGTAGAGATTTAGGGGGACACTGGATGTCAACCTGTGGCCTCACACACACGAGCACACGTGTGCATGTGCACATATCCACACAAACATATGCATACACCACACACAAAAAGATAGTAAGATTATAGACAATACTTTGAAATAATCTTAAGCTGCAAAAAATGATAGTAAGGGTAATAAGGGTGGTACCTTTCCAAGATTAGACAAGGTTGGGCAGATATCTTTGCAGAACTAGTGTCCGTGTGTGTGTGTGTGTGTGTGAGAGAAGGTTGTAGTTCTAGCAGTCTTATGAATAATTCTTATCAGCCATGCATGCATGAGAGTCCCTCCTTCATTTATTTATTAATTATTGAGATATTTTTTTCTTCTCCCTTTTGGTTAGAGTTTGACAGAAGTGATTCCATTTTAATTCTGACAAGTTTCACAGATCAAAGAACCTCCAGGCACCAGAAAAACATTGACACATGTTCTGGAAGAAGGTCTGCATTTCAGAACCTCAGGAGGAGAGACAGGAGTACCAGGGACAAGCAACAGAGGCAGCAGAACAGGCCTCTGAGCTTCTGCATGCCCCTTTAGACCTCGGGGCTCAGTTGTTAGCAAATGAGAGCTGGTGCAGCCCTGCTCCACTACAGCTGGACAGCTGGGGGCATCTCTGAGGCAGATCTCCTGCAGGAGGCTGTCCTGCCCCAAACACTTGAGAAGGAAGCAGAAAAAGGAGAACTTGCAACAGCCACCGCACTTCCTTCATGCCTCACTCTTGGGACATTACAACAAGCAGAAAGCAGTCTGATGGTGGGGGAGTGCCTCAAGGAGTTCGCCAGCCACCGTCCAGCCACATCACAGAGGTAACTAAGTTTTGGTCTTCTACCCTTGGCAGGAGGAATGAACAAAGGCAGCTGATACAACAGTTCCGAGGTGCTGATGCAGCACTTCCAAAGGTTCTGGGCCACCCAGGTTGGTTTCTCCTAAGTCTAGACAGTTCTGTGCCTTAAAGGTTGGGGTTCTTTTAACACACATAGAGTGATCTAGAGGACCTTTAGACAGAGGAAGAAATTACTTGGCCCTGACTCAAATCTGCGCCCAGTCAACAGTGGTTGTCAATAGCTATTAGACGCAGGCCAGTGCCCTGTCCTGGAGGAGTTCCAAGGAGCAGAGTTAGCACAAGCTGACCTGGCTGCTTCACTCGTCCTGGAACATGGTGTAGTCACCACTTCTGGGTTTAGGTTTCCTGGAGGAAAACAAAAAGGTCAGAGACCACAGACCATGGAGAATGGAAAGCATTTTTTCTGCAATTTCTACGGAACCGAATCTAACTGAAATTTCACTTTGCCTCTTTGCTTTCACTCCTGAGGAACAGACGCCCTGACTCTGCGTCTTCAAGGAGGTCCTTCAGCTTCCCCAGGCAGCACCAGATATCAGTCAATCCCCTTACTTCCTGGATCTTTCAAAGTTCAGGCCTGGCTTGGAAACATTTCCTTAAATTTCTTGGTCTATTTTGGAGTAGCTGCTCTTTGTGTGCCGCCAGCCTTTCTCGAATAGGATTTAGCAGGAGCCACCATGGGCTCTGTGAATTCCAGAGGCCACCGGGCAGAAGCCCAGGTGATAATGATGGGCCTGGACTCTGCAGGCAAGACCACGCTCCTGTACAAACTGAAGGGCCACCAGGTGGTGGAGACCCTGCCCACTGTTGGGTTCAACGTGGAGCCACTTGAAGCTCCTGGACACGTGTCACTGATCCTCTGGGACGTCGGGGGACAGACCCAGCTCAGGGCCACCTGGAAGGACTACCTGGAAGGCACTGACATCCTCGTGTATGTGCTGGACAGCACAGATGAAGCCCGCTTGCCTGAGGCAGTGGCGGAGCTTAAGGAAGTCCTAGAAGACCCCAACATGGCCAGCGTCCCTTTCTTGGTGCTGGCCAACAAGCAGGAGGCGCCTGATGCTCTTCCGTTGCTTGAAATCAGAAACAGGCTTGGCCTAGAGAGATTCCAGGACCGTTGCTGGCAGCTCCAGGCCTGTAGTGCCCTCACAGGCCAGGGGCTGCCAGAGGCTCTGCAGAGCCTGAAGAGCTTGCTGAAATCCCGCTGAAATGCCAGTCACCTGTGACTCCAGGTGACAGCCAGTGGGGCAGAGAAAGCCAGAGCTCCTGGGCAGGCAGAACAGCTGCTCCTTGTTCCTGGGAAAGGAAGGACCAGTTGATCCTTGAGAAACTTCAGCTCAGTCTATCACACGAGAAACCCTTACATTCATGGACAGAAAAATTTCTTCTCAGGACTTATTCTCAGTGGTGTTTATGTTGAAAATCAACTGTTCTTTGAAAAATAATGCCCTGAGGGAAAATGAAAACCCTCAAAATACTTCATGTAATAGCTTGTTAACAAGGGTGAATGGGACAAAGATGGTTGCATAATAAATTGAGAACTAAGTTCACAAAGGAAAAGAGGTTTTGAGATTGTATCTGAGTGTCAACTAGACCTCATTACAGCCATTCTTCCTGATGGCTTCTGGGCATGGGCCATTATCACTCTCATTAGGATTTAGCTGGTCTACCTACATAGAATCTGCAGGGTTCGGGTCTGCCTATGTAGAATCTGCAGAGATCCACGGGGCTCTCGGTTCTTCCGGAATCCACCCTTCATTCTAATCCTAATCAACTCTTCTTTGCCCTGCACCCTAGGTTGGTCTAAAATAATAATAATAATAATAATAATAATAATAATAATAACCTCTTTTTACTTTCTTTTTTAACATCGTTTTCTCCTTGTAGCACATGTCTTTCCTTAAAAACTAGATCAGGGACTGACTCAGTGGAAAAAGCACCTCTGTCCATATATGTGCCATGCCACATGCATACATACATGCATACATAAATGTAATGGCAAGTGTGTATGCATATCCCCCAAAGTGTGAAAAGTATTTTTTAAACAGATCAACCTGAAGCTATGGCTCAGTACCTAGCATGCACAAAGCCCTGAGTTCATTCTCCAGTACTCTGGGGTTGGGGACCAGAAGTGTAAGAATCAGATCAAGGACACACTAGTACATGCCTGTAATCCCAGGGCTCAGGAGTCAGGAGTGAAAGGATCGTGAGTTGAAGGCCAGCAGGAGCTACAAAGTAAGATCCTGTCCTTAAAAACATCAGATGATGTGGGGCTGGAGAGATGGCTCCTCAATTAAGAGCACTGGCTACTCTTGAAGAGGACCCAGATTCAGTTCCCAGCACCCACATGGCAGCTGACAACCATCTGAAACTCCAGTTCCAAGTGATCCAATGCCCTCTTCTGGCCTCCATTGGCATTGCACACACATGGTGCACCTAGATCATGCAGGCAAAACACTCATACACATAAAATAAAAATTAATACATTAAAAAAAATCAAATGAGAGCCGGGTGTGGTGATGCAGGCCTTTAATCCCAGCACTTGGGGGAGGGGGTGGGGGGCAGAGGCAGGCAGATCTCTGTAAGTTTGAGCCCAGCCTGGTCTACAAAGTGAATTCCAGGCCAGCTGGGGCTACAGGGAGACCCTGCCTCAAAAAGACCAAAAAAAAAAAAAAAGAAAAAAAAAAAAATCAAATGAGTTAATTTTTAATGAAAACATGTAGAGATATGATAGAAAAGTAAGACCTCAAAGAGTTGCTAACATCTCTTGCAATGTGATGGTAATGAAACTCTTTAGATGGTTTCTAAGAACTTTGAATGGTTGCTAAGAAATTTGGACCTGAAATGTCCCAAGGTAAATAAGAAATAAGAATGGGGATGTAAACAAGAATCTTTCCCCATCCCCTGGGTTTCCAAAACTGCCACATTCCTGTAACCTTTGTGATCACATTACCTGTAAACAACTTACTTATCTCATATGTGCTATTTGCCCTTTGCTTGCATTCCTCACATATAACTATAAACTTCCCCAAAAACTTGAGTGAGGGACCGACACCATTATAGACTGATCCGGCTGTCAGTCTGCTGGCATAAATTAAACTCACTTTCCTCACCTGACTTTGCAGCCGATCTCTTGACTCTAGGAGGGTTCTGTAACAGAGAAAGCATTTAATCTGGGACAAAACAAGAAACAAACACTGGGTATGGTGGTGCACACCTTTAATCCCAGCACTCAGGAGGCAGAGGCAGGGGTTCTCTGTGAGTCTGAGGTTAGCCTGGTCTACATAGAAAGTTCTAGGCCAGCCAGGGTGACATAGTGAGATCCTGTCTCAAAAACAAACAACACAAATCACTGAGCTCTTAGATGTGAGGCTGGTGTTCTGGATGAATTGTGAATCTGCAGATTCAGGTGACAGCAATGTTTCTCCCTCATATCAACAGTGACAGGGGACAGGAGGGATAGATAGAGGCACTGTTATATTCTGTATTATAAAGACACACTTTCCATATTATAAAAAGGAATCTGCATGTGCATGTTATTAATAGCTTAGCATATACACACTGTCAATGGTTTGTTGTTCCGAGTCAATCCTGCCCCACCCCAACCCCAGATGCCCCTGAAAGAGTACAAGTTTAATACTGGCAGAAACTAGACTCAGTATTTTAAGAAGTGTCTGAGCCCAAACATCTGCAGAATGAAGGAAGTGTGCAAGAGGTGATGAGAGAGACACAAACATCACATGTCTCAGAAATGCTGCTAACCACCTGACCAGGGCCAGAGACTGACTGATGACCTTAGTTTACTTTCTCCTTTTCTCTCCTCCCCCGCCAAAAAGCCTGCTGGTTACAGGGATGGAAGGCAGTTTTTAAGGTGTTAACCAGTTGCCTTCTCAAATTGCCAGCTCTCTGAATAGAGTACAACTTAAAGACAGTTCCTGTCTGTGCTCATTGGCTTTGTAGTGACAGACATCCTGAGCTCCAGTATTCTGGTTGCAATAGTAAAATCATTTCCCAGGATCCAAGAAACCCCACAACTGTCTTGCAAAATGTGGTGTTTTGGGTCATTTTGTGTGTGTGTGTGTGTGTGTGTGTGTGTGTGTGTGTGTATGTAGGTAAGGGAATCCATGACTTTGATCATACTTTCTTTTTTTCATATTTTATTTATTTTTATTTTATGTGTATGAGTGTATTACCTGCATGTATTTAAATGCACCTGTGTCATACAATGCCCATGTAGGTCAAAAGAGGGTGCTGAATCACCTAGAACTGGAGTTACAGTTGATAGCAGCTATGTGGGTGCTGGGAGTCAAACCTAGGTCCTCTGCAAGAGCAGCCAGTGCTCTTAACCTCTAAGCCATTTTCCCAGCCCCAACTTTGGTAATACTTTCAAAGACAAGTATGACTCCCAAAAGAATCACAGATTTGGTCTAATTACTCCTCCAACTCCACAAAATGAAATCCAAATATGAAAATGGGAAGCTTAAGAGCCAAAATGAGGGTACCAATTTCTATCCCAGGTCTCCTTGCAACAAAAGTCGTAATACAGTTTCTAGAATGTGTCATACTCAGAGACTTGACTTTTAGCCTGTTTGGAGAAAGGGTAGGAAGTGGGAACCTATAGCCAGATAGGAAGTTAACAGGACTGGTATGTGCCTCTCACCTCAGTGCCTGGATCATGACAGGCAAGTCTCAAAGTAGAAGGTGGAGAAGCTGATCTCTGTTGCCACTTCTTGGGTGTGTGAAAGCAAATTCAAATAAAAAATAAGAGGCTTAGATAGCTGGAGGTGTAGCTCAGTGGTAGAGTGCTTGCCTAGCATGCATAAGGTCCTAGGTTCAGTTCCCTAGATCTATAAAAAGAAAGGGATAAAAAGAAGCTTGAGTTTCCCTGTTGAATATAAGATGTTTCACTATTCTTATTTTTCTTAGAGCATTTATTGTAGGAGACTTGTGATTTTAAGTTCTTTCTTTGATCTCTTTGATAGCTTTTCAAAAGTATTTATGTAGCTAACTGAGTAATCTCTGTAGCTTTGGGCTGTAGGCATGTAATCAAGGGAGAAGGCAGTCCTGGTTTCTGTGGGAGGGTGGGTGCCTAACCTTGTTTTGAGTTGTAAAACCATCCCTTGTCCTAAAGATTGAAGGTTGTTTCCCTTCCAGCAAAGCCAATTAGCTCACACAGATGGTGGTTTGCCAGGTGGGTCTAGGGTGAACTGTGAGTGACAAATAGGTTTCATCAGGTTCTCTTGCTTGGGGACTGACATCATTGTTTGCCTTGAGAACTCCTGTGGAAGGGCTGAGTTTGTCAGTCCAACTTTGCTAGCTCCCAGGGGACTGCCTGAGATGTGTACCATGTTCGGCTGAATGCTTGCATCCTGCTCGGAGGGAGATTTATTTCCCTGCATTTCCCCTTCAGGTCCCAATAGCTGGCTCCTGAGCTTTGAGTTACACCAGTGAGTAGGCAGACCACATGGGGAAGAAGGGTGCACAGCCCCAGTGTATCCTAGCAAAGGAAAAGTCTAGGTGGGTTTTGTAGGATTCTAATTAGGAAGACTGAGCACTGCAGTGTGACCAGTGAGATCACTATGAACTCCAAATCCTGACTGCCCTGAGCTGCCCCCAAGGAAGGATTTCACAGGGCAGTGAAGGCTGACCCTAGATTCTCTTAAAAAAAAAAAAAAAAAAAAGAACAATTTTAGGGGGAAAAAGAGTATTTATTTTCTTTTCATTGTCTTGATATCCACCCTTCTGATATATTTGCCCCCTAGGAAATTTGGCTCTGCATCTATAAGTTGTGTGATTTAAAATTCACCCTCAAGGCTGGGGAAATGGCTTAGCAGTTAGAAGCACTTGCAGAGGACCCAAGTTCAGTTCACAGTCACCTGTAACTCTAGCCCTAGGGTTATCCAATGCCCTCGTCTGGTCTCCTCAGGTACTAGGCATATATGTGGCCTACATATAGACAGACAAACCCTCATACACAGAAAATAAAAATAAATCTTTAAAGAAAAATAAATCTTTAAAATTCTCCCTCAGAAATGGCATGCTCTACTCAGATCTAGAGCTAAGTCTGATAATGAATCCTTCCCTCTCCAATCCTGGGGCCCATAGATATTTTTGCAGCCTACTCCAAGCATGAAATTATAAACCCTGGGGCTGGAGAGATGGCTCAGCAGTTAAGAACACTGTTCTTGCAGAAAACCTAGGTTCAAATCCCAGCACCCACCTGGAAGCTAACAACTGTCTGTAATTCCAGTTCCAGGGGATCTGACAGCCTCTTCTGTCTTCTGCGGGCATTGCACAACATGACACAGGTGCACTTACCTACATGTAGGCAATACACACATACACATAAAATAAAAATAAATATTTTTTTAAAAAAAGAAATTATAAACCCTAAGACTGGTTCTCATAGAAGCCCTTCCAATTGTTCAAATAAAAGGAAGCTTCACTAGATAGCTCAGCAGTTAAGAGAACTGGCTGCTCTTACAGAGGACCAGGGTTCAGGGTTCAGTTCCCAGCACCTACATGGTGGTTAACAACTATCTGTAACTCCAGTTCCAGGGGATCCGATGCCTTCTTCTGGCCTCTATGGGCATTGCACACACATGGAATACTTACATGTAGGCAAACCACACACATTAAAAAGTTTTTTAAAAATCTTCATGATTATAAATGGTTTGTTTATTAACATGACTCCATATAATTTTTCAATTTTATTCTATCTTTTCTTTGCGATCTACAAACTTTAATTCCAGGTGATATAATGTTTGTTTAACCAAGAGAATAGGTGGAAAGGATGTTTTAAAAAATTATGTAATTTTTGTTCTGGCCTATGAAAATTCATCCCTGAGAGAACTGCTTCCAAAAAGAAGATACAATCCAGTGTATATCAGCACTGCTCATATCAGTGCTGTCTAAATACAGGTGAGTGCGTTGGCTCAGAGTTTGGGCTTGAAGTTCATCAGGATTGACTAACACCAACTCTACTCACTTAATTGCTGAGCCACCTCTCCAGCTCACCGACCTGAATTTTAAGAGCACATACTATATGCAAATAGCCCAACTATGTACAAGAGACATATGGATAAAGAAGAAGCAAACACAGTCCCTACCTGTTCATCATCAAGGAAAGCCAAGGCAGGAACTCAGAGTAGGAACCTGGAGAACAGACCATGGAGGACTACTGCTTACTGGCTTGCTCCCCTGGCCTGTGCTCAGCCTGCTTTCTTATACAATACAGGACCACTTGCCCAGAGGTGGCACTGCCCACAGTGAGCTGGGCCCTCCCAGATCACTCAACAATCAAGAAATGCCCCACAGACATGGCCACAGGCCAATCCAATGGAGACGATTCCTCAATTGAGGTTTCCTCTAACCAGGTATATCAAGTTGACAACTAAAGCTATCCAGCACACTGCCTTTGAATGTCCAGCTTTTAATAGGTGACCACTGCTAATATTATGTCCCAGTGGCTAAGAGCATGCACTGTTCTTGCAAAGGCCTGAGTTCAGTCCCCAACACCCATATCAAGTGGTTCAGAACTGCTTGTAACTTCAGCTCCTTGGGGATCAAATGACTCTGGCTTCTGAAGGCATATGCACTCATATGTGCACGCACATACAATAATAATTTTTTTTTAAATTAATGAAAATGAAGCATACAGTGTGAAGAACCCAGCCTTCTCTTGCAATCACCTTCCCTCACCCTTGGAACTCTCCAGAACCCAACTTGGAGGAGATATGATAAGGTTGGTGAATGGGGCAGGTAAAGAAGGGAGAGGAGAGTCCAATAGAGTACTTAGACCCGCTGAAGTGTGTTGGACATTGGCCTCCAGCGTCTCCTACAGTCAACTCTGTCCCAGGTCTTCTCCTCCCCTTGGCCCTAGACCAGTACAATTTTCAGGGAAGAACCTGGAAGTCCAGCATTGCATCACCTTTGGGCACTGCAAATGCTCCTCCTCCTCTTCTGAAGGCCCTGTAGGTAGGTTGAAAGAAAGGATTTCAGAAGGTGGGAATTGAATCTCACACTTAGCCACTTCTAGAATTATACAACTATAGATTCATTCCTTGGACTTAAGTTTTTAAGAAAACTATTCCTAGAAGGACAGTTTGGATCAGTAGTCATTTACACTTTTTTTTCCTGCTTTTCAGACAGGATCTCACTACATAGCCCAAACTTTCCTCAAAATTGTGATCCTCCAGCTTTAGCCCTTGGGGTCTGCGATTTCAGGCCTGGGACACCATGTTTGGCAAGTTTATACTTTAAATGAATCCTTGAGATTTAGAAGGGAGAAGCTTTAGGTAGGCAGAAAGGGATAAATAGAAAGAAACAAAGGAGGCATGTTGTGTGCTACCAAAAAGAGAGCAGGTGCAACCTTGCCTTAGGTCCTAATGAATCTGGGTCATCATCCCAATGGCCAGGACCCCTGGCAGAGGGGAGCTGTCACCTTCCCAGGCACTTGGATAGACCAAGAATTGATGGAAGGGATAACTGGCTGGTCCAGAATACTGCTTCAGGTTAGGGGGTGGGTAGGAATGACTAGCCTGGCCTCTCCCCACCCCCCATATCTCTGTCTAGCTTCTCCATTAATGACTGACCTCCTAGGACACAAAAGAGGAAAGACAGCTTTGGAGAAAGCTCAGGCTGGGGTGAGAAAAGGCTGAGGGAAGAGTCATCACAAACTATGACAGTTCAGTAGGGACTGCTGGTGCCCAAGCACAAGGAACTTTGGCCTTTAATTGGGAAAGCCACATTTTTCCACTGTGTCCTACATTTGTAGGTTGCTCCTCCCCTGGCAGTGTGACAACACCCTCGCCAGCAGCAGAGGGAGACACAGCTCCACACTGCCACCGGCAGCCTGAGGAACTCTCTTCCTCCTCAGGGCCCTCCAGGCAAGTAAAACTGGATCCTTGCCTACACCTCTGAAAAGAATTCCAGGATGAGCCAGAGTGAAGCAACCTTGATGAATTTATTAAGATAAAGGAGAGATAAAAGAGGGAGAGGGAGAGAGAGAGGGAGAGGGAGAGGGAGAGTTAGAGAGAGAGAGAGAGAGAGAGAGAGAGAGAGAGAGAGAGAGAATGTATAGTGCTCATCAAAGCAGTGGGTATGGGCTTATTATTATTAATTTTATGCATGAGTGTATTGTCTGCATGTAAGTACATCCATATGGTGCAGTGCTCATGGTCAGAAGAAGGCATCAGATTCTCTGGAGCTGGAATTTCAGACAGTTATTAGTTGCCATGCAGATGCTGGGATTCAAACCTGAGTCCTCTGCAAGAGCAGCCAGAGCTTTTAACCACTGAGCCATTGTTCTAGCCTTGGCGTGGGCTTCTTGAGAGTCAGTTGTACTTAGATGTCTTTACAATGTTTGTATATAGGACCTCTGGCTGAGTTACATTCCTTGAAGGATATAATTTACAACAAGTTTTAAAAATTAAGCAAACCTTAAAAGTTTAAGTAAAGCATCATGAGAACGCTATGCCAGAAATAGAGGTGATTATGTCATTCTACAATGTCAGAATTCATTAACAATGAATTCACAAACTATGTTGATTTCCTTGGCTACAATTTGTCAAGTAGTACATATTAGATAAAAGGGTGGCAGAGATCCGAATTGCCTCAAAACAGAAACAAAGAGGACTCTGGCAAAGCAGGAGTTTGAGTTTGGCAGGGTTGGTCCTCAACTCAGGTGTGAGGAAGAACCAGCAGCCTAATGGCTACAGGGGAGTAGCTTATTAAGAGACAAAATTGGAAAAAGAATATTTTTCTGCTGTTTGGGACCGTTTGGGGGGGCTGCTTGCTCAGGGAGGGTGTGGGGTCTGTACCTGGTGAAAGTTATCGAGGAGAAAAACATTTACTATAAAACATGTTTTCTGGCACACACCTTTAATCCCAGCACTTGGGAGTCAGAGGCAGGCAGATCTCTGTTGAGTTCAAGGCCGGCCTGGTCTATATAGTGAGTTCCAGGACAGCTGGGGCTGCAGGGAGACCCTGTCTCAAAAAAGAACAAACAAACAAAAAAACAACAAAAAAAAACATGTTTTCTACAATTACAGGTTTCCAGGAACTAACTGCAGCTAAGGGCTTGGGAAACCTGTTTGTCAGCCTGTCAGCATGCTCTGGTGATCACAATACATTGGGTCATTAAATTCCTGGAGCTGCTTTTGTAAGCTTGCAGGTGGCTGGGAGTTGGTTGACTCAGTTCCTCTTAGGGGCCTTTTGGTTTCTGGGTTTGGGGTCACATGGATCTGAACCCTATCAGTATAGACTTCCCTTCCTAGCTGAACATTGGCAAATGAAAGTTATTTTTTTTCCGATTTTATGATTTTGTCTTTTCTATCTTTTAAGCTGGGGACCAAACTCAAGACCTTGTGCAGCTAGGCATGTGCTCTTCCACTGAGCTAAGCCCCTCTTATTCCAATTTTAATTATTAACTCTTAGCTCACACATTATATATAAATTATATCTCTAGATATGTATATAGGTTACAGAATGGCTGTGAAGGATTAAAGAGGATGCAAAAAGTTTCAAAGAGTTGAAAGAGGCTTCAATGAAGGCAGATGGGGGAACTCATAGGAATGCAAAGGGACGTGAACCCAGTTGGAGAGCTGCTGGAGGTGCAGAGCTGGGCTGTGGGTGCTACAGGCTTGAGCTGGCCTCAGGACTGAGTGAGCTGCAGAGGCAAGGTACAGAACTGCAGCACTCCAGAGGGACAGTGCAGGTCACATGCATGAGCAGATGGACAGGAGGGCAATTCAAGTATGCCACATCAGCTGTGGGGATCAAGCTGAGCTGAAGTCCCAGAGCTAATGGAGAGTCCTCTGCCTGTCAGTCCCTGATACATGCACCAAGGGGTCACATGACAGGTCCATGGGGCTGTCACATAACAGTATTAGGTGTCCTTCTCTGTGTGGGGTCCAGGTGAAGCCGCTGGACCCTTCATCAGTCTGGCATGTTTGATCAATTCTCAGGCCTGATTTTGATGCTAGTTTTAATCACATCCATGTGTTCATATGTTCCCAATCTACTTTGGTAAATTTATGGTGGTACTTTTTTACTTCTAGGAACAAGTTACTTAACAGCCTGTGCCTCAGGAGTGGTGCTGCCCAGGTGGTGGTGTCTACACACACAATGGGGAACAAAGTCATGCTTCATCTGCATCTGCATTCTGTATGGAGGCAAATGCTATTGTAAAATGGGGTGGCCCAGAGCAAGCTGCAGCCTGAAAGCCACTGTTTCACACAATATGGAGTCATTCAGGGAGGGCACAGTTTATCTCCATGTAAAGTTTAAAAATTCAATCTTAGCAGACAGCCTGAGAGGGCAGGTTCTGACTTCCATCTGTGTACTGTGATCTCAGCAGACCACCAGAGAGTGCTTGTTCTGGCCTCCCTCTGGCATAAGGCTGAAAATTCAGCAGACTGACTGAGAGTCACAAATTCCCCCCCGCCCCCTTAGGGAACGTCCCAAATTTTGCTCTGAGTTCCTGCTAGTAGGGGTCTGAACCTTAAAAGGAAGCCTGAGTGTGCCTGACTGGAACCTGACTTGGGCTTCTGTGGGTGCCCCTGAGTAGCTGATCTGAAGCTATCAGTTCCCTCCAAAATAAAACCTAAGAGAACCTGAAACCTGGACCAACTAGCTTTACATAACCAATAAGGAAAGGACCAAGGCACACCAATAGAAACAGAAGCATACTTCAACTTAATTCTCATATCAGAATCACAAACAACAAAAGAAATTCACATGCCAAAATCACAACAAAAAATAATAAAATGGAAAGCCAAAACACTATGTCCCCACCAAATTTTTTAATATAGGCTCTAAGTGCCTATATTAAAAAATTAGAAAGAGCCAAAATAAATGGCCTAACACTGTCACTCAAGTATTAATGAAATTGAAACAAAGATAACAATACAAAGAATCAATGAATCCAAGATCTGGTTCTTTGGAAAGATAATCAAGATTGACAGACCGCTAGCCCAGTTAACCAAAAGAAAGAAAGAGCAAATCCAAATCAACAAAATCAGAGATGAAAAGGGAAACATCACAAGAGACCCCCAAAAGATCCACACCATTATAAGGGAATAGTTTAAAAACCTATACTCTACCAAATTTGAAAATCTAAAAGAAATGGATGGATATCTAAAATCATGGGAACCACCAAAGTTAAACCAAGAAGAGATAAACAGTTTAAACAGACTCATATAAGGAAATCAAAACAGTAATACAAAGCCACCCAACTACAAAAAGCCCAGGCCCAGATGGATTTACAGCAGAATTCTACCAAATATTTAAGGAAGACTTCCAACCAATACAATTTAAATTATTCAAAATGATAGAAACAAAAGGAGAACTCCCAAATTCTTTTATGAAGCTAACATCACTCAAATACCCAAAACAGGAAAAGACACAATCAAAATAGAAACAATAGACCCATATCCTTAAAGAACATAGATGCAAAAATTCTCAACAAAACACATCAAAAAGACCATCCATCATGATCAAGTAGGCTTTATTCCAAAGATGCAAGGATGGTTCAATATACACAAGTCAATAAACATCATTAATCATATAAATGGACTTAAAGACAAAACCACATCATCATCTGAATAGATGCAGAAAAGGCTTTTGACAAAATTCAACATGCATTTATACTCAAAGTCCTAGAGGGAATTGGACTGGAGGGAACATACCTCAACATAATTAAAGCCATATATAACAAACCCACAGCCAACATCATTCT